ATAAAATCATTATTTATATGTGTGTGAATTATATATATATATATTATATATAAAATCATTATTTATGTGTGTGTGTGTATGTGTGTGTGAGTGATGTTGATATGAACATTACCAACATTCAATTTGGAATGATTCTTAATATTAAAGAAATCTCAGAAAGATCTGCCATTGTTATCTGAAAGTTTCTGGGCCACCATGCCAGGACCACCTTTAACCCTTGTATGCATGACTTTTCGTTCTCATCAGCGTGAGCTCAGGGAATACAAATTCATTAATTATTAGCCAAACAAAAGACATAATTAAGAAAGTTAAAATGTATAATTCATTCCAAAACTAAAAGAGAAATGACCTCTGGTGATTTTCTTCTTTGCCTTCTATATCCTACTGTTTCCCCTCCATTAGAGTGCCTAATTATTATTTAACCAGATTCCCATACACTTTGATAGTTTTCTCTCCCAGTATGGTTAAGCTATGTATGGAGAGAATTTATAATCTGAATATTGCCACCTTTTAAAATAACATAAGCATGCAGGTTTTTTATTGCTATTTATACAGAATAGGTAGTTATGTGTGACGCTGCATCGCTAGATGTATTCTAAAGAAATGGGAATGGTTTCTTGTTGGTTTCTATTGCATGGCATTTATAAAACCACAGATCAATAATCTTCCCTGCCTTATGCTTTCCCCACCACATGTGTGCACACACAAAAACATGAGTGTACCTAATGTTCATGTCTACAGTTGGGTAGTGTTGATGGCTCAGATTGGCTACTGCTGTCTAGCCCTCCAGGTGGCTGCATTTGAATGGTGGGTGAATGATGCTTATGTATTCAGTTCGTAAGATTCTTTGACCTCTTTCTAGGTGAAAAATGCTATATAAATAATATAAAGTATTACCATAATTATGTCACACCCTTGAAGATTTTTGCACTAAGGGGAGGTGTGAAGGAGGTGACATGGACACACAATGTGAACATATGTGTGTGCGCATGTCATATCCTTTTTTGCCTCTTTTCTATCTTACCCTCATCAAATCAAGATTCTGGGAGGATTCCCTAGAAGATAAACTTTGCCAGGTTCTACCAAGTTCTAGAAGCCAGCCAGTCCTCAACCCGCTGGCCAATTCCCTTCTACAAGTCTATTCTAGATACCCCACCTCCATCCACCCCCTGCCCAAACCCAGACCCTTTTCTTGGTCTCCTGTGTTACTCAGCCTGTTCTTAGGCAACCCCTTTCTGTTCCAGACTTTTTCTGCCTTCCCCATCCTTCCCAGCCGGTTGGCACTGAATGAGGAGAAAACATGCCTTCCACTTAAGGAGTACAGCCAGGGAAGGGGAGAGATAAAAGGCTCAAGTTGACACACAATTCAAAAGCAAACAGGAGTGAAAACAGAACTTTTCTCATAAGGCCAAATCAAACATCAATGAAGGAAACTGAAATGAGTTGGCCTGCAAAATGGGGCCAAGGAAGCAACTCGAGCCTGGAGTACAAAACAAGCTATGCAGAGGGAAGCCGGAGAGGAGAGAGCATGTTTTGGCAGCTTCTGAGTTCTCAGTGGCAGAAATAAGAACTTGTACATATGGGGGTGGGCAGTGGAGGGGTGGGGGAAAAAACACCCAACCCTAATAAACTAATCTCAGCTAATGTAATGTTTATCAAGTTCCTTGGATAATGATACCATGTGTGCCATTATCATCATCAAAACCCAATCTATGTTTTAAAAAGTTACAGATGATTAACACAACATCAAGTTGATGCAAACAATTACTTAAAGCCCACACACAACACACACACAGAGACACACACACACACAGACACATACACACACAGAGAACCAGGAGGTCCCCATATTCTGTAGAATGAGGGAGGCTGCAGCTGTAGGCCGACAGCTTTCATATCCTCATTTGAATAATGTGTCCTGAATCTGTCACTTTATTCATTCTCCTTATGCTCAGTGTACTCTACATCAACAACAAATTAAGTTGTAAATAAGAGACAATCATCACTTTTGTTTTTAAGCAGCTACTGCATAGAGAATTTCAATGCACGCTCCTTTTCGACAGGGGGGAAAAAGAGGTGCTAGAGTTTGCTTTCATAGGCACAAATATGGGGGAACCAACAGAAACAAAAACAGAAACAGTTTACTGTTGCAGAGGGGAGGGGGGGGAAAACATTCTCTAAAGCACAACCATCCATTACGAGCGGAAATTTCTTCCAGGAAGCTACTAAAACATACAAAGACAGAGGCTAAAGTTTCCCGGACTACGCTGCAAACCCTCGTAACTTGGAATACCAGTCCTTCGGTCTGAATACACAAGTGGCATCTCTGCTCAGCACACCTTTAGACAAAAGGACAAGTGCATCCAATCCATTAAGACACAGGTGTATTAATAAGCTGAGTCCATATTCATCTCCATTAACTTCTGAGAGTTCAATCACTACCACATGCATAGAAAATAAAAAAAAAAGAAAAAGAAAAACTATATAATAAAAAAATACCCCTACCTTTACATCGGAGAAGTAGGTCTTCAGCATATTGGAGCTGGGGTAACGGGTATAAAAGAACATGAGCTTTGCTTTTTTCAAGTGATTGGGTGACAATCCTTCCTGCATGTAGGATGCAATTGGTTAAGGCAGAAAATTCCATAAACAACAAGGATTTGTCACTCCTGCCCCCCACCATGCACACAGTCACCCCCAGAATGGAGGCCCATCACACAGCCCATGGCACTGGCTAAGGAATCTATCACCAGTCAGAAATTGCCAAATGTACAGGTAAGGATGAACAATTAGCTGCAGATTCTTGGCTACTTTGTGACAAAGGTGGCCAAACCTGTCCCCTGCTCTAGGTCCCGTATGCTATCCATACGTTCACTTGTTGCTAAGGAGATAGATGCACCCAATGTGTTACTGCACAACTCTCATCATAAGAGATTTTTCCTTCATCACAATTACAGTTCTGTTTGTTTGACTCTCCACACCCTGTGGTTTACATCAAATTATTATACTGACATACGTGAACATAGAAAACACATTATTTTGAACACTGTTACACAAGCTTCACATTTTACCTCTTAGTGCTAATCTAATGGGGCTTCGTGACTTGATTTCTTCCTATCATACTTTTATCTCCTTTGAATTGTTTCCTTTAAAATAATGATTCTAACTTGGTAGGGGTAGTTTTGGCACAGGGAGAACAGGGTGGGGGGGGGGGTGTCCCTTTTGTTAAAGCAACGGTCCAAAACCAAATACGATTTGCTTGTCCTGGATTTATAGTTAACTCCTTTGAGAGTGACACAGTAGTTGGGGCTAACAAATCAATAAATGTGGGTTAGTAGATCAATAAATGGCCACTTACCCCAAATAAGAAGACCTATTTATCTGGAAACATCATTACCTTTTAGATCTGTAAACAGCAACAACTAAAACAGTTCCCAAGAGAATGTGAGGCTAACCATAACAATCTAGGCTTCCTGATTCTCGCCCGGATTCTTGGCACTCCTCAGCAGACTCTGAGCTGGGATGGCTCTGGTCACATCTGTGCCGCAGCCTGGCCCTGCCATTTCCTCAGCAAATTAATGGCTTTATAATTTATCAGAAATGAAGATGCACGTGGAGAAAATCAATGTGGTCCCCCACAAGGTCAATTAAGGGTCTTTCCTAGAAGCTTCTCTAAGGATTTTTTTCTCTTAAAGGAGAGTCTGGGAAAAATAAGGAAAAAAAGAAAAAGAAAATGTGTACAGGTTCATGCACACCACACACACACACACACACACACACACACCCTTGATTACCCAACAGAATTTCACATCTTATGAAGAAAAGGCAAATAAACACAGCCACTCACAGAAGATAAAGGTTTCCCAATGACCTCCATCAAGTACAGCATGACTAATCGTAAGAATAGAGGGGAACCAGAGAAGTACTAGAGAATCATGATCAAATTAATATTGATAAGCTCTTGACTACTTATAGCAGAGTATTTAACCAAATATTCGGCTGAGAATTTGTTCAATTAACATTCCCTTTTATACCCCATGCCATTAAAAAAAAAAAAAGATCACCTTGGTTGGCAAATAGAAAAGTTAAGCATTGTGGTTTTGTGCGGGCATGTGTGTGTGTGTGTGTGTGTGTGTGTGTTGTAACTGAAAATAAACACTGAAGAAAGAAAATTTGATTTTATGTCTGTAAGCCAAAGCAGCTTAACTGAACTTGTGTTTTTGTTTGAGGTCCTTAATGATTACAAAGACGATAATTTATGACTGACATACTTCTTGTGCCAAGGAAAGAGCTGAAAGGCCCTCCAGTAACCTCCATTAGACTGATAGAGAAGACTAAAGGAGCCCAGGACACTTCAGGACCATCTGTCCAAATGGATAAGTGAAATAATAGCTGCAAGCTGTCTCCTATTGCCTCATGATAAGAGTTTTAGGGAAGCCCCAAGTTTGACAATATTCTCAGATCTGGGTTCCAATCTCTTCTTTCAGACAGCTACATGAAAACAACCTCATATGTTTAATTACTTATGAGTCCCACATCTTTCAAAATCTGGTCTCACATGAAATTCAACTGTTTTGCTTTATTCCTCAGATAGGCAGAGAGCTATCGAAACTTCCTGAAGCTTTCCTTTCATTCCAATTTTGCTACGATGTTGCAGTTTTTATTTAAAAAATAAATAAAATCTCCATCATATTTTGATCAGAATTGAGAGTTTTTTTAATTTCATACACACACACACAAAATCTCGAATTTGGATTTCTGAAGTTCAAAATGTTTTTTGCTTCAAAATGTTTCCTATTGGTCATGTTTGGAATCGATCAGTTGAAATGGAACACAGAATAAATCTCTATCTCTTGCTCATTGTGCAATTAAGATAAAATTCCCATAAAATATATGTTTCTAATAAACTATTAAAAATAGCTAATGAAACATTTAAAAGCCAACAGTTAGATAATCCTTTCTTTCTCCTCAAAATAAATCTGAACTGACCAATTGGTTAATTTCCCTTTTAAGTGCGTGTGCTGAAAAGCAACTGTTCTTCCAAGAAAGCACTAGCTGTTTCCTGGATACTTACACACGCACAATGACTCATGATGGAATAGATTCAGTAAACATACAGCTGTACTGAACACGAGCTAAGCTCCATTCAAGGCCAGGAAAGAAAATGAGCACAAATAAATATTAAGGAGGTAAAGGGAGGGGGGGTGGGTGGGTTGAGGGGGGATGGAACGCAAGCAAGATCTGTCCCGGCAGCTCATGTGGCTTTGCCTCAATTCTCTTAGCCATAGCTTTGTGAAGACAGATGACATTCAATTCTATGTGTAATGCAAAATAGACAATAACTGCTGAAACTTGAGACAGCTGCCAGGTGTAAAAAAGAAAAAAAAAAGAAGAAAAAAAGGAAAAAAAAAAGAAAAGATGATAAATCCATAAATTAATGAAAGACATCTGCTCGGGAATATAAAAGATCAGAGAAGCAGGGTACAGCAGCTGAACCTAAAGTGGTGTCCAAACAACCTGAGAAGCTAAGTGTTGTCTGTTTACCAAGAACAATACAACCTTACCTAAACAGCCCCAGCGGGAGGAGCAGGAGGCAGGAAAGAGGCAAATAGAAAAATAATAGGTGGTGAAGGCTGGAGGAAGAAAATTCTCTTTTACTAAACTGAACTCTGGATTGCAGGACAATGTTATATGTTGCAATTCCAAGGAAATGGACTGGGACTACTTATTTTTTCTCAAATGCTTGCAAACCTAAAGAATTTTGGTTTCCTTCTTATTGTCTGATCTGCTGTTTCTAAGAGGCTTCCTGTAGGAACCTGTGATGGGGAGGAAAGAGCTAAATTCCCTCATTTAATGATAGTAACAGAGCAAGTTGTTACTATACTAAGAAGTTCAATGGAACCAGAGGGATGTGTAGTTTACACTAATCTCTTGGAAGACAAAAATTTAAATTATAAATTTTTTCCGGACATTGGGGAGACTAGGACCCACACTTTTTCAATCCTTACTTAATCTGTGTGTATCACTATCACTTAGAGAATTATTATGGATCCAGGAAACATCTAAAAATGTAAAAAATCAGCTTCTGTGGATTTGTTTTATATTTTAGAAATTTATTTTTAATTCATGTTTCAGGTTGAATTTTAATTTCTTAACATTTAAATATTTCTTTTTCCTTCTAAATTTCAAGTAGTTTTAATATTCTTTCTAAAAGTCAAATAGGGGGAAGCTGACTGCCCCAGAGATCAAGCTCAATTTCTTCACCTGCACATCTTAATGGCTTATAATACTACTCTTGTGCTTTAATTGGGTGCATGCAAATGTTTGAGGCCTAAACAAGGCTATTTTTCTTGAGATGCAAAGAGGATGAATGACAAGGAGCATCGTGAAGAAAAGCAATTGGCTGGTTGTTTCTTTGGGAATTTGAATAAAACTTAATATTTGATTAAATAGATTCATTTGCAAAGATACTGAACACATTTTTTATATCCAAGACATGAGCTCTTTGACCAGGTGCATTGACTTTCAGTTTAATATGCACACATTCATGATTTCCTTCCTACCACAGGCGATGAGGTGGAGTGCTCTATTATTTAGAACATATATATTTAATGTGTTCAACTTAGGATGGATTCAGCTGATAAGCTGATGTTCTTAATAGTTTTTATCTTGGCTACTTTGTTCAAAAAAAAAAAAAAAGCATCAGATGATGCCCTTTGGAGTAGAAAAGAATCATTCCTTAAGACTTAAATTATTTAAAACAATTTGGAAAACCATGAGCCAAAAATAAAAACACAAGAATGATAATCATGGTGGTACCATTTCATTCTACTTCTGGTTATTTCTATTGATCTTTCCTCAAAATAATTGTAAAAGGGATTCAAACATGGCTCTGTATCCCTAAAACTAAAGTTAAACACTACTTGTTATGATTCCGAGATTTCTTCAAACTAAGCTTGAAAATTTTGTCTATAATCAAATAGCAAAAGGAGTTCAGAGAAAAGTACAATTTTGTCTATAATCAGGTAAATCAAGGGTAGAACTCATTGACATACAGTGATAGAGACAGGAGCAAAGTGAATCCAATCTGTCAATAAATAGATTCTCAGTTGTTCCAGAATTGTGGGGACCAGAAAAGGTGGCTTGTCTATCCTCTTCTTCCTGAGGAAAAAAAAAATCTACTAATAAGCTGACTAGTTAGGTGTACAATGTAATAGAGAAGGAGAAAACCAGGTTAGTAAGGCCCAAACATGGAAAATGTAACCATTAATTGCAACAAGAGGCCCAAAGCTTTCAGCCATAATGATACAAGAGAACAACTCCAGGCTTAAGCAGCTACATTCCATGTGATCATGGGTACTTCTCCCCATCACTGTTTAATAAAAATCTTATATTGGTAGAAATGGGAAAAGTTATCCCTATGCAGTAAAAGCAACTATATTTTCTTTACAGCCTTTGGTATGTAGAAAAATAGAAGAAACTTCTTTCCATTCAAATCCTCAAAATTCCTCAGGGGATTTAGAGAGGGTGAGACAATGAACACAGCTGACACTTAAAGCAATCTAAAAGATTTTTTTTCCCCTAGAATACCAAACTAACTTAGAAAAACAAAAAGCACAGGCAAATTATAATTATCTGGTTATAACAAGAAGGCTAAGCTCTAAAAACTATAAACTAGCATCACAAGCAAGAGTTTATATTAGTATAGACTTATAGGACTTTGAAAACTGGCTTCAGATATTCATCAAAATGGGCATGCACGTACCTTTATCCTTTACACTTGTGGGGGTAGGGGGAGAAAGAAACAACTCACTACTATACTACTTGTTTCACAAGTTTAGGGCTCTCTTTAAGTGCCACAGGGTCCAGCCCTACATGTCATCCTGGTAGGCACTTCAAAAGATCCTCTTCTTGGGAAGGGTGAAAACCCATTCAAGCCATTGCGTTTCCTTACTTCACCCTTTTGCATCACCAACAGCTATATTCCAACCATGTGAACAAAACTTCATTGCCTGCTTATAACATAAAAATCATGGTGCTTGTTACACTTTAGCTTCAAGACTGGCAGGTGGAATTTGAGCTTTTTGAGATATTGAAGTTAAATCAGCACCCAAGTCGAGACTCAAATCTAAGACCTCAACGACCCTCTCACAATGTTCTTCTCCTCTTCCTTGTACAGAGGGAGACTCCATGTTTACCTGTCCAAAGCATCTCAAACTTGTGGCTCCAATTCACCTTACCAAAAACTTCACCCCTATCCTGAGAGTTGGCTGGAGGATGACCAAGGAAAACGTATTTCTATCATAGCTGGGACTTTGCAGTTATGTGGCAGCCTCTGGAGTGAGCTTAGATAATAAAATGTCAATCTCTAGTCATCAAGACGATTGCTCAAAATCCTCAGTTTTGTAGCAGCTAAGTTAATTGCTAAATTTTATATCCATCTGGTAACTTATTAAATAAGAAACATGCTTCCACCTGTCCCCAAATGCTTATTATTCTACTACCCCAAAAGATTAACAACTGCAAGATTTTTTTTAAAAATTACTGAAAGGAGCAATTTACAGAGGGGGGGAAAGTGCCATCAGTTAAAAATAGCTGGAGTTAGGATAGGTCTACTAAAATATATATATATATATATCTGGTACCTCTATATAAAAGCCAAGTTCAAAATTTAAAGGAGTCATAAAAGGAGTCATTTTTAAGTCGAATACAGCTGAGTTTTATATTTAATTGTGCTCTCTTGCTTTCCAAAATAATTTGCTTTGTGTATGTTAGGACAAAAGATTTCTGTGTATGGTTGAGCAGAGGTTAATCATGCATAGAGGCAGCTGCACCAGACCCAAGGAACAGACCTTGGGTGAACGGAGAGACTGATGCTGTCTGAATAAATCAGTACCTGTATATTTCCTATATAAAAAAGAGTCTCACTTAAAGATTAAAGAATCTAACTCCCCCCTTGCCACATCCATCTTTTTCCCACCACAGGACAGCAGCCTCCCACCAATAAAGCACTCTCCATAAGATTTAATCGGGCCTTCCTTAAGTGGACCAGGAGCCTTGCAGATGGGTTAAAGTGAGAAGTTTTCTTTGCGGAATCTTATGGGTCTGAAAACTGACTTTTCTCCTTACTCCATAATAAAATTTACCATCTTTATATATAAAATATCTGAGAGAATTCAATATTTACAATGAGAATTTTTTTTTTCCATTTCTGAATCTACGATTAGAAAAAAAAAAGAAGGTATACAGGAAGAACAGCATAAAATACACTACTGAAAAAGCACACGGAGAAACCACCCCATGGAGGCAATTAACAACCGATGAAAGTTGCAAAGATGACAATTTAGTGTTAAGCTTTTCTGTGATCATGCTGATAAAAGCCTATGACACTGAGGAACAAGAAAGATTGCATTCTGGAGTAGATGCTGATCTACATTATTCTTTATATTGTGTAAACCTACCCTTTCAGAAAAACTTTTTTTTTTTTTTGGCTTTTTGTTTTGTTTGTTTCTTGAGGGGGGAAATAAAAGGATATTGCACTTCCCGAATAAGGTGAGATTTCGGACATGTCTTGCAGATCGCCACACTCAGACTTTATGAGCGACAAGGAGAGCCCTTCGGCGGTGCTGGGTGGGTGTGCTGGTGAACAAGGATGGTGGCTCAGATGGTGGGATGACATCTTGGTCCTCAGACTCGTGGTATCCCTAGTTAAGTCTAAGGATTCAGGAGAGGCTCTGTCTTTTCCAGAGAAGGAGCCAGAGGGAGCACCTAATGGACTCTGAAATGGGTAGGCCATCAAGGGAAGGGGGAAGGGATGGCGGAAAGTGGAGGTGGTGAAGCCTGCGGTGGCAGAGAGAGGTGACTGGTGCAGGGGCTGGTGGTGGCCGCCAGCGGCCGGGCCGGAGGCAGACTGGTCAGATGAGTTTTTGCGGACAACCAGGGGCAGTGCTTCTGTCTGGTCTGTGGAACTGGGCATCTGCACGTTGCCAAAGGTGTCCAGGGGGTTCGGAATGATGACGTCGCCAAAGCACTGCAGGCGCTGGTTGGCGGTGTGGAAATTGTGATTTTCCCCGTTGACTGCAAATCTGGCCTGGGGGATCTGGAGAGGTGGGAAGACCTGAGGAACCTGGCGGGAAGGCTTGGCCGAAAATACTTTGACCACTGTGTCCACAACTTGTGACATGGCAGTGTTCAGTTCCTGTTTCAAGGTCTCGGCCAAATGTTTGCCTTCGGGTTGTAAGGAGTTTGGCCCGTGGTCTCTTTCTTTGTTGTTGCCTTCTCGCTTGGGCTTGTTGTCAGCCAGCTCCTGCTCTCTGATCAGGGCTCGAGCCCGGTCGATGAACTGACCTGGGTCCAGCTCACACATCTCGTTGTCGGACCTCCCGACCGAGTCCTGGGCCCGCGCCTCCAGGATCTCGGAGCGCATGCTGTCTTCAGACAGGTTACCATCTTCATCATTTTCAGAATCAGTGCTGTCATAGATTTGGTAGAACTTTTCCTGCAGCTGGCGCAGCTGTTTCTGCATGTCCTCCAGCTGCTGTTTCAGCTGTCGGCGCTCCTCTCGCTTCTGTTCTTTTCGGGCTGAAACCAGCTGCTGGAAACTCTGTTGCTGCTGCTGGGGCAGCTTTTGCTTGCGTTTGTTTTCTCTGTAACTTTCTCGGGGACTCACAGACTGCGGGGCCATCTCTCTTTCATTTTCATTGCCCCTTAATGCCACACTGGGGGAATGGCTCATACCCCGAATTATATTCTCAACCCGGGCACGCTTTGCTCTCAGGTGCTCATCACATAAGCGATCCATATCAAACTGGCTCATAGTAGGCCTGCCAAAAGGGGAAAGACACTCTGGGGGGCTGTCTCTTGAAGAGTTGCTGCATATATCCTCCTGATGTACTTCGGAGCCTGTACTAGAGAGACCGCTGGCTTGGAAACTGGGCTCCGTGCCACCATTTTTGTTCATGTTATTTTTCAACAGCTGGGAAATTATGGTTGCTCCTGGAAAAGGCATCATGGCATCTTCATACGAGTTCGCCCTCTTCAGCAGCTTGCGGAGTACATTTGACTTTTCCCCATCTGCATGCTGCACCACTGAATACTCAACATCCTGCTCAGAACCTTGGGGATTCATGGCACTAAAAAACGTTGCTCTTGCCTTAGCAAAAAATGCAGATGCTGTCCCTACCGTCCTTTTCACTCCAATGTCAACTCTTCTCCTCTTGGTTTGCCGGCTTAAGAGGGCTGTGCTGTCATGGTCAGGCATCACTGGACGGTTATTGTGCCATCTTCAAAAGCTCGTCAGCTGGGCACAGCTCAAGAATCCCGGGACCCTGGCCAACAGAACAAAAGGACTGATGAATCATTTTCTTTAAATTTCTCCAAATTTCCTGACCTCAATCCTGAATCAAATGCAAAATGCATAGGCTCTGGGATTTATGGCACATTACAATTATTGCAATTTATTATGCACTCTGCTTGAAATGAAACATTTTTAAATATTTCTGCTCCACTGGTTTAAGATGGATTAAGATTAAAAAAAAAAAAAAAGCAAAAACTGCTTAAGCACCAGTAATATGATTCTCTTTCACAAATGCCTAAAATGATACTGTTTATCTTCAGAAGAAACAGTAGATTATAAGAACACAGCCTCTGACAACCAATTGATTAAATTTTGGGCATTGAGATTCATATTATGAAAGAAGATGAAAGTGGTCTATACTTAAGAAATAAGGTTAGATTTTGAGACTGTGTGAAATTGGGATGAAAAATTCCATTTCTGCATTAAAACTATTGTGGTTTTGATGCTACTGAAGGAAAAAGACTCTAAAATAAATGCAAATATTTTACACACACCCTTTATTACTGAAGTTTAAAATATTTTTGTCATATGTGAAATGTGAAGAACATCCCAATCAGCATCTTTCAAACATAAATGGCTAATTTAGCATTGAAAGAAATTCACAAATACTCATTTTACAAGTCTGCTTATTTAGCATATTATGCATTTTTATTAGTGAAATCATATGTGAAGATGGTATCTGTGGCTATATCTTTCTATAACCAAGAATATTTATAAATTTTTACAATGTCCTTTTGATGACTTTAATTATTAGAAAGTTGGGTTCTGCAAAAGAAAAATGTCACTTTTGAAAAATCAATATGTGGCACAATAAACTATGAACTAGGCAAAGTACATCTTTAGTATAGTTTTCTTCTGTTAAAATCTGCCCAAATTGTACTTCAAACACCTAAAGAAATGGTTTAACATACTCCATTTGTGAATCTTATTTCCTATGCCAAGTAACAGGAAAGGAAAAAAAATTAAAACAGAAAAAAAAAATGACTGATTGAAGATATAGAAAGAAAGAAAATAACATCAATCAAATATGTGAGAAAGGGAAATAGGTTCTTTGTATATGAACTTCCGTTGTTTCTTGGGGACACAATATAAAATGGGAACATCCTTGCTTGCATTTTATAAAAGGCACTTGACATATTGTGAGACTTATTAACTAGCAATGCTAACCCCAAATTTTGTGTACATGCAAAATGTCACATCTTTTTGTTTACACTTAGCATTTTTGAAGAAAATGAAAATATTTTTTTCATGCTGGATTTATCTGATATTGAACTTCACGTTTGCTTAACAGAGCACATCTTCACAATAACAGGGTCTATTGCCAAAGGCAGCGTGCAGAGTGTTTGGAACAGCTCCCATCTCTTTCGGTTCACCTGTAAAAACATCTACGTGCTCCCTAGGACTGCATCTGTGGCTAGTTTTAAAGAATGACTATCCATGCAAATAGGCATAATTTCAGCATGAAATAACCTGCAAAAATCAAGAAAATGCTCAATGCTTACATGGCAACAATATGTATTCTTTTTTTTTTTTTTTTTAATGCAACAAAGATTTCATCATGCAGCTTTTGGTGTACATGAAGATAAACTTCTTAAAAAGAATCTGCTTTAGGGTAACCATGAAAGCAAGATGATGTTTCTTTCTATATATTTTTGTACACTTGAGGATGAAATACTTTTTATATGCTTCAGGATAAAATTTTATGAACTTGGGATGAAGACATCTCAATAACTATAATATTGGGCTGAAGACTGAATTCAGAGTAATTGAGACTCCTCACACATTTAATAATGAAATTGGTTTCAGGAATACAAAAATACCGTGACAAATATTTCACTAAAATATTAGACATGATAAATCAGGTGTGGCTGTCAGGTAAGAGAAAGAACAAGAAAAAGGCTGGATTATAAGTCACAGGAACACTTGGAAATGTGGGGGGTTACAAAGAAAACTCTTTTGTGCATATATCAGCTTTCCAGAAATAGAGCTCACTGTCATTATTTTAAAATTTTACCTCTTTTCTTTCTGTGTGCAAATCCTTTTCTTTTTAATATCACCTGCAAAGCACACAGATATCCAATCAAATACTGAACAAACTTCCTGCAGTATTTTCTCTCCCTGTTCACCTTAACACCCAAATTGGACTTTCCTGCCCATCTTACTACTAGAAGATAACCTCTGATGCAGAGCCTCAGAAAGAATAGACCAGTTTCATTGATGTGCACAAGGTCATCCCCAGGCATCCTCCTTTTCCAAACTGCCATTTACCTGTATCATCTGCAGGTCCTCTCATCCAGCCTAGGTATCAACAGCTGCATCCCTGCCTCATGCCAGAGCCAAGAGGAGGGCCCTGCTCTTTCTAAGGTGGAGAGACATGATACTTTCATCTTCAGTGGAGAATAAGTGTTAATTAAACATGCTCATCCAGTCTGCTAAGAACAAGATAATCCTGTAACTCTCTTCAAATTCACCAAACTAAACTGATTTTTTTGAAATTATCTTTCAATTGCTTCACATTTTAAAATTAAATCATGATTCCTTTCTATTTGGGGCTAATAAAATTTAAACACTTTTGGGGTCTTATTGTAAAATGTCTAGCTGAGACATAATACATAGAACAAAACAAATGAGAAAAAGTAGAGAAAGTGATTTAATCCAGAAAGACATCATATTAATAGGAACAAATAAATATATATCTCTATAAAGTTTAGACCTAAACTTAGAAATAAAGATAGAGTGATAGTATACATTGGGACCATAACCCATGGAGGCTATAGGCAAGATAAATAATAACTGGTTGACAGTACTTTAATAACATCATGTTTCACAAACAAGACACACACACACACACACACACACACACACTGATATGTTCACCACATAAGAAAATGCTCTATCAAATGACCATAATGTAAACTAAATCACTTGAAAACATTTTTCTAAGTGTTTCCATGGTTTTCCAATTCAGAATTTAAAGGATGCTATGGAATGACTTTATCATGAATGTTGTCTTCTCCATTAAGATTTTCAAAAACTCCTAAATTTCTCAAAATATGTACTAAGCCATAATGTTTCAGCTATGATTATAATTGATTCTCACAATTTTTTAAGGTTAATTCTGATTTAACTAGGCAATATGAAACCTTTTGATCAGCACTGGTAAATATCAATATCAGCAAGAATAAAAAAAATACTGATGTAGACTTTGAACCCAAATTATTATTGATCAAATACACATACTCTATTCCTATAAAGTCCTCTTTAATATGAAAAACTATATAGAATTTTTAAATTATTGAATATTTTGCTGCATCAGTTGGCATCTAATCTATACAAATGCTTTAATAACTCCCATGCAACAGATATCTTAACATAGCAGATTCTTCCCAGAAAGAGATAAGAACAGACAACAGATAAGAACAGATTTTAACTATTCCAAAAGATTTTTCATTGAAATTGGAATTATCTGACATTCTATTTAAAAGAGAGAGTTCTAAGAATCCTGATTGACTTAATGTTAGTAGAGAAGAATTTTCAGTAAAGAATTTCAAAGGAACATTGCAATATGAAGCAGAAAGTAGCTCAGTGCTCCACTCTAATAAAGAAGCTATTTTGGGGAAGGGGATGCAACTTTTACTGCATCTATCTGGAGTCCAGATTCTGGACAAAGAAGTGTTTCATTATGGTAATTATCCAGATAGTTCAGACAAATCTTTTATGAGACAGGGAGAATATAAGGTTGGCATGGCTTCCTGCTTCGATTTAGATTATCTGTCTTTGTTGATAAAATTATTTGGAAAAATTGCTTACATTTTAGTTCTTTTAGAAAGTCATTTTTGAATGGATCTCCAATCTACTTGGGTTAACCTGGTTATGAAATGTTAAGTGGAATATCGTTAACAAAGACTCTTTTTAATCAATCTGAAAATCAGTAATTCAAGGGGGAAAATAATCAGATGATTTGATTTAGGTACTTCCCCCACCCCATATCACTAAGCTGCTCCCTTCTCTGTATTCAAGAGTTCATATCTGTTATTTAACAACTTTTCCTTTAGATACATTTCTTATTGTCAGGTAAGAAAACCTTTGATATTTATTTTGAAGAACCCAATTGGCATAAGTTAATACTTCCATTAACTAAGATTGTATTGAAAGGGTTTAAATTTTCCTATCATGATAGAGTTCTCAAATCGTAATCATTTCATTTATGATTCTATTAAAAATTCTATATATTTTTCACCTGCAAAATGAACACAGAACATTTTCTGAGATGTGCCCAAATTATAAATCTCTACTTATTTAAAAAGTAATAATTCGCCACGTTGGGTAAATAGAAGAGTATGAAAAATAATCTTAAGAAAATACACTTTTAGTTTTTCCTTTTTGCAGAAATTTGGGATACTCTAAACATCTAAGCTTTGAGGTTTTAGATACATTAGGAAAAAAGGCTTGAGAAATTCTTGTTATATATCTCTTCCAATTTATACAAACAATTAGAATACTATATTAACACATCATTCAGAATCCACTTTCATACTATAATATCAATAACATTTTACAATTTCCTTTTTTGTCCTAAATGTAAAAAGTTTCATATTAACATTGAAAATTTGAGCTAATTCCTGAAATGATATAGGAAATTGATGAAAAAAAAAGGCCTTTTGAATTTGAACAACTAAAGAATAAGTCTGGCAACTTATGAATTAAGCTAGCTTGGGTTTTAAGATTGCATGTGCTGCTTATAGAAGAGTGATGCTAGGAAATAAAGTGAGAACAAAGATGCATGTTATGTATGCATGACTTTCCCCCCACCACAAAGTAGTGATTAAACTAAATAGAATTCTGCATAATGAACACATAAAATATCAATAAGTGCCAAGCACAGATAATCCCTATTAAAAATAAAGTAAATGAACATAGCCATAGATGACATTTTAATTACAAAAGAACTTCAAAAGCATCCAAGGAAAGTATGGAGGGGTGGCTTTGATGCTTAAGTTTAAAGAATAAATGACACATACTATCTTATTTTCATGGAAACAATGTTAACCACCCAAACAACAAAACAAGCCAAGAAAAACCATTTATCATCTAACCTATTTCTATGCAACTTAATTTAAAGAAGGAGCCTGTTTAATGCAAAAATTTAAAAGGTCAAATTTTAAGAATCCACAGAGTCCTCACATTGAATTCCCCCAATCCTCCCTCACACATCAATCTGCAGTCCTTAAATTCATCTGTTTACCATTATATAAACATATCCATGAGTAGGTTAACTAGAACACTCTCCTTTTTCTTCCTCACCACACACAGTCTATTTCATTTTGAAAATACTCAGAAGTTCTTGCAAGCAACTCTTCATAGAACTGGCCGCCTGAATCTTGCATCAAATAGAAAAGCACAGTTACCTCTCATGTACTTGAGATTTTTCTTCTCCATCAAAGTCATATCTAGGACATGTGGCACATATCTGGTACAATGACAAGTGAATTCTACTTTATGACAGTATTTAACATATGACTTAAAAGTTTATTCACATACCTATTCTTTCTGGACAGGGAGAAAGCAGGCTAAAAAGATAAGCTTTAACACCAGTAACACTTTCAAACTGACGTTGGTATTTTTGGCAGTTACACACACCCATCTCTGTCCCACACACACACACACACACACACACAAAGGACTTCTCTCTCTCTCTCTGCCAAGCACAGACCTGGGAGACAGGCATAAACTGGAGGGAAGCAAAGGGAAAGTCAATCTCTCTCCACCTGCTGCCTGAAGTGGGGGTGCTTTTGGCCACTGGCAGACAGAAGCCTGAAACATGGCCTCAGCAGCAGCCTGCCAACGTCCTTAAGAAAAATAAACAAATACATACAGACTTGCCCCCATCCCTTCCCAAAGAACTCACAGGACAGGGCTAAAAACACAACAACAGCCCAATTCCCATTAGCCCAGACAATCCTATTAACCAGGACGACCATAAATTCATAAACCTCTACAACCCTCAAGCAAGCCTTGTGGTCTGGAACACACAGACACATAGACACAGAGGAAATTTGCACCTGTCTTTCTTGACACAACACACCTGTCAGGCCCTGCCCATGCGCACTCTGCTAATAGACTTCTGCCTACCTAGTTTAGGAAAGAAAATGTATGTGTGTGGGAGGGTGGGTGGGGGTATATTATTATTATTATTTTGGTAAGGGAGGGCATGAGTGTGGGGGAGAGAGGGAGGGGGTAGGGGAAAGAAAAGAAAAAAAAAAGAGAGACTCTTCTAGCCTTGACTTTGAGAGGAGGCCACCTTGTACTCTGTTTTTATAAGCTTAAGGAGACAACACAGACCTTCTTGGAAAAATAAAAACAAGCAGGTGAGTTCCCAGCCTTCCCCCAGGCGGAGTAGGGCTCTGGGTTGCCAAGAACAGCAGTTTCACACTCCAACCTGCCTCCTTGGGCTATTTAAGACTATCGCCCAACCCCTCCTTCTGTTTCTGCTCTCTGCCTGGAGGACTCTCCACTTCCGAAGAAGCTGGGAAGGGGCGGGAGACCAGTGAGTGTGGAAAGCTACTCCCCCCTTACCCCCACCCCCATCGCTCCCTCCATCAACGCTCAGTGTTAGCAGGAGGACTAACTGGATGTCACACTAGAAGAGCCAACAACTTGCTAAACTGGACTTTGGATGATATCTCCCCCCCCCCCAGCCAAACTCGCCCCCCTCCCTGACCCCTCTAGTCTGCTCGGGCAAGACAGCAGCTCTTCCCCCTTCTTCCCGCCCTCCTCACTATTCTTCCCAGCAACAATTACTCGCACCTCTCCTCTCCTTCCTCCATAAGTCCTCCGAACTGGGAAAAAACAGTAGGTACCACCCAGACAAGACCAGACGGAAGCGGCCCAACACCATAGAATGCCAGCGATGGCTGTGAGATTCTTCGCCTCGGACATCCGCTGCCCAAGAACACCCCTAAGCCCACCCCGGCCACAATCTGATCTCCGCGGCGTTCAGGCCCCACTCCCTCCACCACACGACCCCGGAGGGCTCCAGGTGCCGCCTTACCCTACTCAACTTGCCCCAGCTCTGGGCTCAGGAGAGGGGCGCCGCTCTGGTTTCCCCGGACCCATCACTCCACCGCTCCAACCCCGATTTCAACATTTCAGCGTCGACAGCGTTTTGAGAGGAAAGTAACAGAGCGCCCCCCTCCTCCCTCTCTCCTCCTCCCCACTCCCGGCCCTCTGCTGGGGTTAAAAAAGAGAAGTGAAAGGTATGCAAATGACAAGCAAATTGCAAGAGCCGGGAAGAAAGGCAGCTATAATAAACAAGACAAAGGGAAAGGACGTGGGGACTAGCCCCGGAGTTTTAAACCCCGGGAGATGGGAAAGATGAGGCTTGGCGGAAAGCGGGGATCCAGACGAACAAAAAGCGACCCGGTCCCCCTCGCGCGGTCCTCTTTCCCGAGAATAGAGGCCAAGAGAAAGAAGGAAAGGAAGCCAACGCCTCCTCGCACCCCAGAAACAGTACACAAAAGGTGACAAGATCAGCGACAAGTCCAGCCACATCAGCCTCCCCCATCGCCAACACCACCACCACCCCCAGCCACCAGCAGGAAAGAGAAAGAAATAAAAGCCAAGCGGATCACTTACTCTTAGGAACTGGGAGGAGCGGGGCGCTGAGTTCCACTGAGGCTCCTGCTTAGAAACTGTTTAGAGGCTATTTTATTATGATTCATTTAAATAACACCACATTCTCCTGGAAAAAAAAATGTTTACACGGGTATGAGTAATGGGAGGCTCTTTTCTTTCCTTCTCATTCAAGAACAAGCCAGTGCAAGTGATTCTGGAAAAGGGGAGGGGACTCACGAGGGAGAGAAGATACTTACGCGGTGCAGAGAGCAGTGGGACCGAGTCTCTCTCTCTCTCTCTCTCTCTCTCTCTCTCTCTCTCTCTCTCTCTCTCTCTCTCTCTCTCTCTCTCTCCCTTTTTGCCGGCTGAGAGAGGAAAACACGCGCGCGCACACACGGTGATATCTTGCGGGTGATGAATATGATAATTGGACAAGGGACGGTGAGTCTGTGCGAGAGCGAGCGAGCGGGCGAGTGGGAGAGGGAGAGGGGAGAGAGAGGGAGGGCGGGGAGGGGAGAGGAGAGCTGGAGAGAAGGGGCGAGGGGGGAGAGGAGTGGAAAGAAGCGGAGAAAAAAGAAAATGAGAGGAGAAAAGGGAAGAGGAGAAAGCAGGAGACGAGAAGAGGAGAGAAGAAAGCAGAAGAGAAGAGAGAGAAGAGGGAAGAAGAGAAGAGGAGCGAAGCAGAGAGGGAGCAGGCGGACCCGGCGAGAGCTCTTTTGCGCCGCTCTGCTTTCCCCGGCTGCAATGGTGTATTATTTCAGAGCGCTCCCTCAGCTGAGGGCTCCGCTCCACAACAAGATTTACTTTAAGACACAGCTGAAGGAAACAGGAAGACTGCACGTCACAGTCTGACTGACGTACCCGGCCCCAGCACCCAATCGCGAGGCGCCTTCGGATTCAAGGGGGGATAGCGAGGCAAGAGAACTTGGGAGGAAAAAAAAAATTAAAAAAAAAAATATATATATATATATATATATAAGGGGTGGGGGTGAGGGGCTGAAAAGAGAGGAGGGGAGAGGGGCCCTGCGCTTCCCCTCCCCGGCCTCCATCCCCGGCCCCCACCCCACCCCCGCCCTGCCACTGCTTCGGGGCGCCTGGATCGCCGCGCCGGGGCCGCAGCGAGCCATCTGCGGGCACTATGCAAAGCGGCGCCTGGCTCACACTCGCTCTTCCAGGACGCAGGTCTTTTTTTTTTTTTTTTTTTTTTTCTCATTTCCCAGATACAGCTGATCGAGTTCGCCGAGTGGCCGAGCGAGTGAGCGCTCCTCGAACTTGGGTGGAGGAAAGCACGGAAAAAGTATACTGGAGAAAAAGTGGGGGCTTTAGGAGTGGGAGTGGTAAAGAAGGAGAGAGTGGGGGATCCTCAAACCATTGCACTTCTAAAAAGATCATAGCTAGTATCAACAACACATGTCACCCTTGCTTCCTTTTGAAGAGGAGGTGGACGAAAAAATACAGGTAGGTTTTTGCAATTAAAATAATAGGTGCCAGAAGTTTCACACTGGGTCCGTTGCATCTGATATTCAAAAGATCAACATTGGCTGATTCCCGTCAATCACCCGTCAAAATTATTAGGAAGAAAAATTTTTTACCTTCGGTTACTTGTGACAATAATATTCGGACTATGGGTGCAGCAGCCACTAAAAAAATATGTTACAAACATTATCTCGTGATTATCCCTCACTAGATCACTCACCCCGGAATGACCAAAGAAAGTAGTTCAACATAGAATTTACCCAATTTCGACGTCTAGGTAGGAAACTCTGAAGTTTATTGGGCAAGCATTTTAAAAACCGAAGTGTTGGGTTCCAACATAAAGCCAGAGAAAATTCACTTTGGTTTGATATTTCTTGGATGAAAAATAACCAGTAAGATAAAAAAATAATAATAATAATGTCGCTCTTAAAGAGCTCCTTGGGCTTTGTAAGTAACAAATGCTAAAGAGAGAGTCTCCAGCTATAGCTAGAAGGTCCGGTTCACCGGCAGAGTAAACGGCTTTTAATAAAGCAATCGCGTTTATGACTTAAAGATCCCATAAAAGCTAGGGCTTGCAAGAGCTTCGAAACATAGACACTCATACCTAGTCGTTTAGATGCTCATTTTTTTTTTAAAGTAGGAAGGAACAAGTATTTTTTCTGTGTCCCTCAAATTTAATCATAGCAAAGGTTGAATCAAGTGCTGTGATAATAGTATTTATTAAGTGTATGGCCAGTACACTGGTCTACCACTGCTACCATCTTCTACACGCACGCGCGCGCGCACACACACACACACACACACACACACCCCAGTGTTTTCTGGGACATTTACAATTTCAGCCTCAAATTCATCAAACTGTGAAGAGAATATTAAGTCTTCTCTTTTGAATAAGAATAGCGTTGGTAGCATGTGTCTGTCTATACCCTGCAGGAAACTTTTGGCACGAAATTCAAACATTGAAAAGAAAGGGGGAAAAAAATCAGGTCGACCAGGTTATTGCCCAGGATAAGAAAAGAGACTTACCTGAGCATCCCCAGCTTTCTTTTCGTCCCCCTTTCGCTGCCCCCAGACACTCCCTCCTTCCATTATGGAAACAACACAGACGAATGCACACACACCAGTCACACCTCCAGTGAACGGCTACTGTATCAAGTGTTCTAATCGAGATGTGACAATTTAAGCTGGGGACTGAAATAATCTATCAACATGCCCATTAGATACAGGATGGAATAATGCTTCTATTGGTTGGGTCCCTTCGAGGTAAGCGGGTGTATTAAGCACGGAATTTGGGTTCTGAGAATAGATCAAAGCTACTTTCTTTTTTTCCCCCGTCCAATTATGTTTCCTTAAGAATCTATTTGTACACATAAGTTACCGCCAGCCTACAAATAAACTGGTAGGAGTAAATAGTGTATGCCCTCCACACCTTAAAACCATCTGCTCAGTTTGACATTTAAAGGGAGGAGGCCAGGAAAGGAAAAGGGAGAGAAGCAGGAAGAAAGGAGGCAAGGAAAGAGAATAAGATTCAGACTCTGGAAAGAAATGGCTTGAACTTCAGCCCACAAGTTTGGGGCAATTGCACCTAGCGCTCGGATGCACGTTTTGCACACACCACTCCTGGGATCTGGCGGCGGGAAAAGTTTCCTGCGCACCGAGTAAGTCCTGTATCACGCCGAGGGCAAACCAGGCCCGAGCTGAAGTCCGGGTAACCCACTCGACAAACAAGGAAACTCCCCTACCCCTAGTCTGGGCGACGGAGGCTCGCGGCTCGCCCCTCTCTGCCGCGGCAGTTCGCAGCCCGCATTAGGGCGCAGGAGCCGCTGTAAGAGCGCGTGCGACTCTGGGCTAGCGAGCTCGGTCTACAGCCCAGCTCCCGGAGCTGCCTACGCCGAGCCCTGTCTTGTCCCCTACTGTCGGGGCGACCGAACAGGCCAGGCTGCTGGCAATCTCTCTTGTCAGAGCTGCGGCTCTCTCCCGGGTTTCAGGCGGCCCTGGAGCAGGGCGAGAGGCCCAACCCCCCATATCTCGGGCGACTCCTGGTTTGTTTTCTG